CAATTTTATGTATTTGCAGTTTTTGCAATGTGCATTTTCATGCTAAGGGATCCTGTAAAATGAGCCCCATAGCTACATGTATAGCCAGTTCATTGCTATAATACATTAAGCCTTGTCAAAAACTCATGATTTTTAGCTCTACTGGTTAGAGACCAGAAGACCTTATGCGATAGTAAGGGGTTGGTCGTCTGTCTGTCCGTCAACAAAAGCTACTCCTCCTACAGTTTTGGTCTGATTTCAATATTACTTGGCACACAAGTAAAGTACACTGAGAAACATAATTTTTTTTTATCGGATTTTGATTTTGATGAACGGTGTTGCTATGGTTACTAAAATAGAAATTTCTGTAAAATTCTTTTAAAATCTACTCCCCCTTTAGTTTTAGTCAGATTTCCATGAAAAGAGACCAAATCAAGGATCATTATTCTATTTATTTCTGTTGCAAAGTTTCAAGTCCAACTGCTACTTATCTCTTCCTTTGTTAGAAGTACAAACCAGTAGAGCTACAGTCTCGAAAAAGACTTCTGGTTAAACAAATATTCAAATCATGAATCTTTGTGACATTCTGGATAAATACAAGCTAATTTCAGTCATGAAGATTGAAGGTCATGTGCCTGAAATGATTTAATGTTCAAAATGTAATCACTCCAGTAGTCCAGTATGCCTTTTCTACCCAGATATAGTGTAATTTTGCTAAGGTGAAAAAATCAACTAATTCAAATGTGCCACCAAATTGCCTGTTATTTTTACTTAAATATCTTAAAACAAATACTTCTTGATAAAAAATATAATCACTGAAGTGTCTCTTGAAATTCTATGCCTGTTTTTTCTACAGAATATCCCTTAGAATTATTGTGACCTTTTTGCACTTGCAGTTCTGCACTTACAAGAGTGAAAACTCCATTAATTTAAATTTGCAACCAAAATCCCAATAATACTAAATAATATATTTAAAAACAATCACTTTTTAAAAATATGAAATCAATGGAAGCGTTTCTTGGAATTTTATAGCTGTTTTTCTGCAGACTATTCAAATATCTTTATTTCTTACAATTATCGTGACCTTTTTGCACTCGTAGCTCTTCACATTCAAAAAGGTATGTGGAAAAAAATTCTGTAAATATTTTTTTCAAAGGTTTTAATTCCTTAAATCCATTAGTTATGAAGATATTATGGAATTTTTTTATACACAAACAGAATATATACAAAAGGTGTTATTTTTCCCTACTGGGTATAGAAATAGGCTGACGATAAACTAATTCTCCCTGTATCCATGGTAACAAATCAAATGACGTCACCAAACTTACGCAGTAAGTAAGTGACCTTGATCTCACTTTGTATGCAAAGTTTCAAGAAATTTTGAAAAACTTGCTTTCATAGCATTCTGCATGGTTTTCTCGTAGACACGCATTTTAAAATTAAATATCATTTATTCATGTCTAGAAAACGCATACTTAAAATACAAATGCTTTACAGATATAAAGCCAGATATTTCAAGAACAGCAGGCCCGTAAGAACGGGGGGGGGGGGGTGTATTTTGCCGGTATTTACAGTGTACTTTATTACAGGAAACCAATTTTAATTTAGGGTTGCACCCTCTCTCAATTTCCATACTTGTCCTTCCGTCCGCCCTTAACACTTGGTGGTACCCATCTCTTATCCGCAACTCCTCCTATAATACTGCACAAAATTTACTGACATTTTCATGCAATCTTTGTAACATAGTGCCATTCTGACCTCCTATCTTACATTTCGATCGGACATACATTTGAGATTTTGAATTTATACTCATATGGGAGGGAAGTATCATTTTGTGAGTTCAATGCTTACAGTAACTCTAGTTTTATTTTGTCACAATTTTTCTTTAGCTCCATATGTTAGAAGTTTGGTTATAAGTACAAGGAATATTGCGTGCATGTGATAGGACGGTAACTTGGTGTTTAATCCGAATCCCTCCATGATTTTTTTGATTTCAGTAAGATTCATGTCTTGACACTATGTCAAAATATTTCACCCATTTCCTCCTTTAAGTCAAGTCAAGTCAAGTAAATTTTATTTATAGTCGGCATATATATACAATATAACATAATGACATGAGCTATGATAGCTCTTTAACCGACTTTAACAAATTTACATAGATAAAAGTTAGTAAAAGTATACATAGTTAGTAAAAAAAACAAAACATAATTTAAATAAACCATAGGAAATAAGCACATATACTAGCAATATCAGCAGAAATTGTAATGCACATGTATAACTATCACAAGTAAGAAAGAATCTGACAAAGCACAATACAGAACACACATTTACTATCACTGATCATGCTAATGGAAAGAAAAAAAACTAAAATAAGCAAAGGAGCACAAATAACATTGACATATATGACTATCACAAGTAAGTACAATCACATAGCACATTTACTAGCACCGACAGAAGAGAAAAACTGAAAACACAAGGAAAGCAACATAGATAGTAATTATACATATGACTAGCATGCATATGGACAATCACAGAACAGGAAAATAAAATAAAACAGAATATAAAACAAATTCATATTAGAAATAAAAAGAGACACCACAGATGAACACTTAAAAAGGCTTCTCAGACATAGGCAGCATGGACTGGTGTTTACATAAACTACATTTACACGTCTGATTTCCACACCAAGTAGATATATAGTTTTTAAATAAATTAAAGGATGTTGTGTTTCGAATATCATTAGGAAGAGTATTCCATATCCTTGCTGCCTCATATCTGAAAGAACCTTTTCCATACCTTGTAGTTTTTGGTCTAGGAATAACTGCGGCTTTAGAATACCTAAAATTATATGAATTTTCTCTAATTATAACCAGATCTTGGAGAAAGACTGGACCCTTTTTATTAATAATTTTAAATGTTTCTAATGCCAGCAAATTCGATTTTCTTCACATTTTATTGAAATAAATTGTTTTGTACCCAAACGTCATTTAAGATTTATTGAAGATGTGACCTTAACTTTCAATTAACCTGAGATGACTTGTGAAAACAACGACTATTGAATATTATTATCAATCATTAAATACCTTTCCATTTTAGCAGTACCTGTGACTACGACACTTTGTATAACTATCATTATACAGTCGACGTTACACTCTTCCAAGACATACCTTTAAACAACTTAACAACCAGTTCAACGTTGTCCAATGACCCTTTGACCCTGTACTTAGAGGAAGTGGGCGGAGAAACAACATGTAAGTGAGAAAACCCAAATTCCTAGGTGTTTATTTTTTTAAGGGTAAAAACGAATATTTTGCAGAGAATTCTATGACCAATGCTTTCATAGGCAACGCCTGCTACCCTTTCTGTTTGTGTGAAACCGAGTGCAAAAGTTATTTAATTTAAAAAAAAAATGAGAAAGAGCATCAAGCAGAAACATGATGTTCCTAATTATTTACAACAATTGACCATTTTTTAAACCTTGATTGTCTCTCATATTTTAAGTAATTTTTGTTTTTTAAATATTAAGAGGAATACTAATACTGATATCTCCCATATTTGAACTTATATATATATATATATATATATATATATATATATATATATATATATATATATATATATATATATATATATATATATATATATATATATTAGAAGGATATGAAATTTTAGAACTTACATTTTCATTGAATTTAACCCCACCCCCACCCCCCACCCCATACACACTCCACAAAAAAAAAAAGCATGCACAAAATATTTTTAGAAATGTTTAACAAAAATTTTCCTCTTAAGAGCTGTTCATGTTCTGTTCGAACATGAACAAATCCAGTCAAGTGGTATAAACAATATATATATTTCTTGTCCAGTACCTTTGCTTTTTAATTTGAGAAATATTATTCGTAGGGTTTCGGAATTCTTCAATGTCCGCTTTTATCAGACTTGAATAGAGGAGTTGATGTATAAGGTGTTTTGTTTATTGACATTTTTTTTTTTAAATTGTTTACCTATAATATAAAAATTATTAACGATATGCTTTTGATAACTCTGTGGAAAAAAGGGTTTCATATGGGAAGAATCAAAATGTTAATATTCAAATGCTATTTTTTTTTTATTTGTGGAGGTTATAACCCTCCCCTTTCACAAAAAGACTAACTCGACAGTACAACTTAATCGTTTCAGATTTTGGTCTTCTAAAGCAACCGTACAATATCGTGGCCTTCCAGCTATCCACAGAATAACCAAGGCAGGTGTATGGAAAGGGGGAGGGTCAGAGAGGGAACCCCTCCTCTAAGTCAGGTATTTTTTTTTTAGAATTGGGTACAAATTTGGTTGATTCTTGTGCATTTTTGAAGTCATTTTTTCCACATATGAAATAAAGCAAAATTTGACAACATTCTTTAAACAGAAAAATATTGAAATTACTTGTTTTTAAAATGAAATTTTCGATTGTTTACTCAATGCACCGCCGTTCCGACGGACTTGATAATTTATCTCATGATATAAAATAGATTGACGAGAAAAAGCGTTTATCTGAATTATCAGCACTAAATAAGGTCTTATTTATTTGAGTGAGAATGATATTTAACACGGAACAGTAGAAGATTAATTAAGCCATAACACAATTATGAAGATATGACCAAAGTAAAAAAAATCAATTAAACATGCAATATCAATAGAACTTCTTAATTCGGTTTTCTCTTCAAGACTATGCACAGGCATTTGTATTCAATGGCCTTCATATTTTCTATTCATTAGAACTTTGTTCATTCTTAAAAAAAGGCTAGTAGTCGCCTTGGCTGAAATGAAGGAGCACTTGCCACCTTTTCATTTTTTATGTCCAATGAGCACATGGAATCCTGTTAAGACACACCTGTTTATAGACAGCTTTACGTTTCATTCATACATTTTATGCAAAAGATTTTTAATTGGAGTAAAGCCAAGTCTCGATGACATATTTCTGACCAGTAAATTTTAATGTAAGGCAAGATAGCCAGTATAATATTGGATTTTTTTTCAGCAGTTATTCTTATCAAATGTCACAAAAAGGAATTACTCTGGAGAAGAAAGATGGAAATTTGTGAATACAGCGTGGAACCAGATCATCTTACTAAAGTCAAGAGATACGATAACTTTAATTTTCCCTATGCTTTTCCCGGAAATGTAAAAGACCACCTGAAGAAAATCGCCAACTTCAAAGTCCAGGAAAGTGATGTATTGCTATCCACATATCCAAAATCAGGTTAGTCTTGTCCTTTTTGTCGAATTTATCGAATTATCGAATCGGTGGAGTAGAGTTTATCGTGCTATGAAATTTAATACTGATCTTTACCCAGATAATTATTTCAAAATTGATTATAGGTTACTTTGAAAATTAACAATAAAATCATGCATTTTAGATCACATAAAGCTTACAATTTTCATCCCATGAATGATTGCAACCTGAAAAAGAGCTTTGGGGGCTTTTTTCTTGTAAGATTGTCAGATTATTTTATCAAATCCCCTGCTTTGATGTGTTTCTGTTTTTATTATTTTCTATCTATTAAACATTTTCAAAAAATATATCAAAAGTACATTTTCATAACAAATGTTTTACATGCATTCATTATAAACATTATTTTACAAGAATCATTTGATTGAGTTCCCATGAATCCTTTGTCAATTTTATCTGTCTGTTCGTCAATTTTTTTAAAATTTCATTACAAGGGTATAAAAGAATTTCAGTTCTATCCTATAACTGACAAACAAGCAATGATATCAGTGTACAAAATGGAATTTAAAAAATGTGTCAGGATATTAAGAGAGTCATGCCCGTGTCCCCAGACCCTGTTTTGACACAGCCACTGTCCGCTACGGCCACAGCTACCTCTAAGGCCATGAAAACACGCGCGACTTCATGTTCCGTAAAGTTCACCATGATCTGACCTTTGTAACCCTTGTTAAGGTCATCTACGGGTGATTTAGATGACCGACATCTATCACTATATTTTAGAACACCGTCACGTCAATAGTAAAATGTGTAATCATGAAAAACAAATACGAAAATAGGGGAAAAATCAACTTGAGTATATAGAGATAGTATTACGCATTGTCGTAAAATACTTTTAGTAGTAAATAAATGTAAGGTTGAGAAATTTTTTAAAAGACATCTCTTTAAAAAACAACAACAACAACAACATATTTTTTTCTTCTTTTTAATGTAAGAAACCTCTTCGTATGGCTTTCATGATTTGACCTGTCGTCTCCTCATTTCCCTGTATCTCATCAATGGTAAAAAATAAAAATAAAAAAAAAAAGCCACGGCGTATTTGTATTTCATAATGTTTCCTCCAAATTATAATACCGCGGGTATGATTTTTTAGTAAAACGTTAATTCTGCGTTATTTTTTGGATTTTTCTTATGGAATACATTGTAAATGTGTACTAGAAGAATAATTTATGAAAAAAATACATAAAAATATTTTTTGTCCTGTGGGGCATATTGGAAGGGGGGGGGGGGGAGTCCTGTCCACAAGTACCTGTGAAACAAACTCTATGTTCCTTCTTTTGTCTCTGTTTTTATGAATCTTAAAAGAATCTTGCACATATTTTAAAAGCTGGCAGTAACCCTAAAAATAAACCTTGAAAAATAGCATTCTTTCTCGCTACTTTCTCAGCCTTGTCGAGGACGAGATGAACTTACTCGTTATGTGCACAATGTTTACAATGAACATGGTCGTGGTTTCAAAACAAGTTGTATGATGTGCCATTATATTTATTCCGACGTGTTGGTTTTTGTGTACTTTTTTCGCTTCGGAAAGTCGGTAGGACATTATCCTAAGGTGCAATGTTTGAGCCTTTCTACCTCCTTCTCTCTATCTCGCCAACAAAGAGTGAGGATGAGAAAGAATGACGGACCAAAGAACAAGAAAATACTGGAGACCGCGCCAGAATGCAAGAGCGATGGAGCGAGATGACGCTGTAATCCTCTCTCATTGTCGCTTTTTTTAAAGTGGTCTCGCTATTAAAAAACGAATAAAAATAAAGAAAAAGGGAACATACAAAAAAAAAACAAAAAAAAAACAAACAAACAAACAAACAAACAAAAAAAAAAAACAACAGAAAACAGAAAACAAACAACCCCTCCAAAAAAATCAATATTACGAAGGAGGAACTTTTTGTTAAATGTTTATTTAATTACTGGAGGCTATAACTACTCGCTTAGAATTTCGAATTGGAAATTGAAAACTCTAGTAACCATTATTGATATAAATCACTTGTGGTATACTATTAGTTGACGAATTTGCATCTATCAGTGAAATAAAGCACCATTATGATCAATTATGGTTTAATGATTTATGAACGGTCAGGTCATACAAAAATGATATAACCTGATTTTTAATAAACAAAAATAAATGTCCACTAATGATAAATAATGACAAAATATATAAGGATGTAAAGTTACTCCACTGATACTAGATCTTTAAATCATTAGTGGTCACCAATAAGAGGTCCAAGGGCCTTGATTCGCTGATACTGGTAAAGTGAACAAGAGTGTCACTGTACCCTATTTCTGAATTGGCAAACCATGGGGCTATAACGCACTTAGGTGACCAACTGACAAGGCTTGATGCATGATTCTAATTCTCTTACTGTGAAATGTTTAGCTAAAATTGATTTAATAATGATATGCATCTAAAACAGTTTAATCATGAATAACTGAAAAATTCGGAAAAGTAGGTCACCATGATCTACTTTTGGTCAACATAATCTGAGGTCTTAAGATGCTTCACATGAAAAGGTTTGATGTTCCTAGGCCTCATAGTAACAAAGATGTAAAGATTTGAAAATGAGTTGCTGCATTTTTTTTAAAAAGTAGGTCAATGTGACCTTCTTTTTGGTTAACGTATTCCGAAAAGTTTGACATCTGAATATTAGACTTCCCGGTCACTTCCTTTAAAAAGGAATACTTGTATTTCGATAGATATTGAAACCCCTGATCTTCCAATTTAATTAGAATAAATGTACTGAATGATTTAGATGGAGGGTAAATTTGATGATTTATTGACCTCACTGTTCTTCAGTTTATATTTCATCATTTTTTATTTAATATACTCTGAGTTGCTTCATCGAGGCTCAGGGATAGAAAAAGTTCGACTCATTGGATAAAAATCATATCTAACCAGAAGTCATCGGAGATCCTATATGTGAAATACTCTCTTCCCGATTATTACACATCTATTGTCTAAAATATGATTCTTGTAGAGTCAGGGCTTCTAGTAAAAAATAATTTCTTCAATGAAATGTAAGTAAAAATTAAAACCAGGAAAGGGTTATTTATGCCCTGTTTACACAGAGAGTATAATTCGAATTAAACGTAAGTTATTGCGAATTAAATTTGAATCGCGTTCACAAGAAGAATTTAATGCAAATTAGTTAATTCGAATGAATTTACTGCACATCAAATTACTTCGCATTAGCACTGTGTGAACGCTAAACGAAGCAAATTCGTTCTAATTATATTTTAAAGCATGCGTAATGATAGAATTAAGTCACACATGCCACATGTCGGTTGTCAAATATAGGTACATATACAAAGGAAAATTATCTTTATCACTAAAGTGAATACAGACACACTGAAATTATGTCAAATGAATCTGCTCTACATAAGGTGACGTGATTTGCAAATGAATTCATAATAGACTTACAGAATAGCTTTCCTTTAGAAATAAAATTTTTAAAATTTGCATTAGTTTATTTCGTATTAGCTGTCTTGTGAACGCAGTTGAATTTGCATTATTTTACTTCGCATTAATTAACTGCATTTTAAACTCTCTGTGTAAACGTTGCATTATACGATATAAAAACGTCAGACCTCTTTCTCTATCCAGAGTTGTCGTCCCTCTACGCTTCTACATACATAGCGTAATGGAAGACAACGGTCAAACCTAAGACGTTAACACAGGTAGTGATTGTTCCTCGCCAAGCGCCCGGCACTGGAAGTAAAAGTCACGGGTCTATAGGATGAGACTGTAAAAACCGAGATCCCGTGTCACGGTAGGCGTTGGCACGATAAAGAAGCCTCACTGCTCAATGGCCCTGAGTGCCGATTATAGGTCTAAATTTGAAGCCCTTCACCTGCATACTGTGACGTCCCTATATGAGTGAACAATTCTCAAATGGGACATAAACAATATACAATCAATCCTCAGCAATACGTCATCACTTCTTATTATATGATGATATATCGGAATTAAATTTATTATTGAAATAAAGAGTTTATGAAAAGCGTAAACTTTTCCAACGCTGTTTATACCGTATAAAACTATAAATTGGGTAGCTATGAAATTCATTTTCATTCATTAAGTGTTAGAAAAAAGATCATTGCCCTTAAAAATGACTTCAAATATTAATTCTACAAAATTTAAATGTAACGTCAGGCGGATACGTTTTTAACGCAAATCACTGTGAACGTAGGCAACCCAATTTATACTATATATTTTTCTATCCAATCAAAAACCACATTATAACCAGAATAAGGTCATTACCTCATGATTGGCATACTGATTATGCATTAAGTACATGCACGTAATGATCATATTCGCTTAATATTTGATTTAATTTACTAAACACGGTAAATTTTTTTTTCAAATCTTTATAAATCTATTTTTCAACCAACGCAGGTTTTCGCTCTAAATATTTTAGGACTACGATCACTCAGAAGCGTTCTCATCCTCCAATGATTTATTTATAACAAAGGAGATGGGTGAACATGACGAGCGATAAGCGTGACAAACATGAAGATGAAAAATTTAATTTCTATTATATCAAAATTTTCCTTGATATTTCGTCTAACATTAAAATATACTTTATGTAAAATCTCTACAATTTGAAAAAATCCCTCAAAGTTTGAAATTATTTGCCTGTGAAATATTAGACACATACTAAAGCGGGCAAAAAGAGTCATTTTCGCATACTATAACACTATTTTTCGATATGAGTGGGTCTTCGCTCCACCTTTTTGAAAGTTAATCCTCAAAGTTTGCATAAAAATATACATTTTTTGCTTACCAAAAATATGGAGCAATGACCCACTATACCTTAAAAATATACTTTTATGACATAACATTCGCATCTTTTCGAGAAATACTTGAAGTCCATTAAGTCAAGGGTCATATCACAAACATGATTTAAATGCCACTGTTCGTCAGGACTTGTGTAGTCTAGTGGTTAGCGTGCTAGTCTCGAAAGAAAATGATTCTCAGGATTTTTATTGCTAGGGTTCGAACCCCACGAATACCACATTATTTTTTTTTAATAAAAGAATAAATTTTGCCGAGAAAATTTTCCTCAGAAAAGTTTTGTTTATCACAATTGCATAAATTTCAATAATGAGAACTTTACTCTAAATATTAAATTCACAAATTGAACATGATTTTTATATTTCTGAAGCTATAGGCTTTCTGCACGCTATGTTCGCCCATCTCCTTAAACGTCTTAAAACCTAAATAAGAAAAAAAAAATGTTCAAGAGAATCTACACAAATAAAACAATCACATTATAAACGTACCTAGCTGTTGTTATTGACTAGACTATCCCTTGTGAGGTTAGCTCCACTGGTTGTAGACCAAATAAAAAGTATAAACTCACCTAACTGAATATTGATTGTTATTTTTATGATAAATATTATGTCTCACGGTTTTACTGTCCTTGGAAGTTTTTTTTTCTCTGCTTGAACTATAATGCTAGTTCTAGAGACTTGTGTGTATATCGGCGGATGTGGGGTCACTCTTATCCAAAATTAAATGCGATTTAATAAAACTCGATACACACGAGAGAGAGAGAGAGAGAGAGAGAGAGAGAGAGAGAGAGAGAGAGAGAGAGTACTAGTGCTCTCATTGATGATGAGTTACCATTTTGTACCAAATTACATAATCTGTGAAATTCTTTACAACTCATCTCAGAAAAATTAAGTTACACAATTCTGCAATTCTGTAAATGCGCCATATTTTTACAAAGTCAGGCATATTTTGTTTGTAGTAATAGCGCATTTTATATCCACACATACTAAAGTAGGTTTAACCGAGAAATATGAACCTATTGCATATACTAGTCCATCAATATAAACACCTTATCATAAAGCTAGGAAGATATAAGAATAATTCAATCCCACCAGAACACTGCATTTGCGTTTCAAATAATGCCTTTATCAATTTCACACACAATGTTCTTATTATATTGTATCTATGTTATCATATTTTATTATATTGTCTAGAATCTTCGGATAATAAGATTAATTTTAATGCATATTCGACATCCAAGCCTCTACACGATTAAAACACTCCCTCCTGGTTTAGTTTTGTAAGTTTTATTATGGATAAGATTCTCGAGATTTAATAAAAATTATGAAAAGGACATCAGCTAAAACTTTCAAAAATCATAGTCATACTCTACTTAAGTCAGCACTTTTAAAATTCTGCAGGAGTGCAGAAATAGATCAGGACACAATTTTAAAACTTACTATACTGTTAATTTTAAATATTCACTTCAAATGTATGGTTATTTGTGTTTAATTAATGTTGATTATCGAAAAAGTTTTACGAGTTATATAATTTCATGACATTGACTAATCACTGAAATAGGTATAGATATAAGAAAATTCCACCACATATAAGAATTTGTCAACACTGTAGTTCTTTATAACCATTGAATTCTTGTATTTGGATGTCGACGGGGCCGTGCCGAGAAATTGAATCGCGTTAGCGCGATATGATAATTTGTCGGCACGGACAGGTGCTGTTATAGGACAGACGGCATCCAAGGTTTCGTGTGTTATAGGATATTGAATGTTGCAGATTTCCAATGGATTTTAAAAAGAAAATTACACTGATTGTAAATGTTGTGCTTTATTAAGACATCCCCAATCCTTATTCTAGGAAACAGCTATTGGGTTGATGATTATCTGTAGATACATGCACACGTATCAATAACTATAAAGAGATGATGCACAGAAAAAATGTATTATAAATGTACTCTACCAGTGATAAATTCCTGTCTGATTTCAGGTACTCACTGGGTAAGAGAAATTGTATCGATGCTGCTTCGTGGAAAAGCCGAGTACACAAATGATCCCCTATATTCCCTGGATTTTTACGAGAGCAGTTGCTTAGAAAAGTTGCCATCTCCCAGAATATTGCAGGTATTGCAGTGTTGCAATTCATAATTTGATTAATTAAATAATTTTAAATGCTTTAAGAACTACCAAATAACAAGGATATCGTGCATATCACTTATTTCGATGAACCCTTTCTACTTTCAGTCACATCTGCCCTACCGATACCTTCCAAAGGAATTGAAAAAACATGGACGTATAATTCACGTGTCTAGGAATCCGAAAGACACGGCTGTATCTTTGTATAACATGGTAAAGAAGCTGACATTCATGTACAGCAGTTTTACTGGGTCTTTCCACGCCTTGTTACAGTGCATTTTCTTCAGCGATAAATGTAAGTTTGGAATTTTAAAATGCCAAAACATGTTCGTTTATCCAGAAATTCGTTTATTCTATAAAAGCAAAATGTTGCTTGCAACTCCAACTTAAAAATGTAAGTGAATTCTTAAATATTTTTACAAATCTAATAACAATTTGCATTTTATTGGTCATAACTCCCTATGACTTAAAGAAAATCTCTATTGATTTTGAGGTAAAAAAAAAAGCCAAAGGTCAAGGTCACAATCTGAAATATTGCATAAAACGGTTTCCAGATGACACTACCACTAAAAGCGTGAAATATTAATTCGGGTCTTTTCATCAATCCGTTAGTCTGTTTGTCTGTAACAATTTAATTTCCGAATACTCTCTAAAAGTCCTTTAGCCTTTTCCATGAAATTCTGTAACATAACTCCCAATGATTTAAAGAAGACCTCTATTGATTGATATATTGCATAAAAGGGCTTCCAGATGACAATCTTAGTTCTCTTTGAGCTTTTGCAATGGTATTTCATATTGCAGCTTCCTGTGATTTAAAGAAAACCCCTAAAATTGATTTTGAGGCCCAAAGTCAAAGGTCAAGGTTACAAATTGATATAATGCATAAAATGGTTCCCAGTTGGTAACTTAGCTCTCTGTGAGGTTTTGCTATGAAAGTTTAGATTATATCTCCCCATGACTTCATGAAGACCCCTCTTAACCATTTCTGATTTTGAGGTCAAAGGTTAAAGTAAAAAAAAAGGTATGTAGTACAATTTAGTTTCTGAATATCTTCAAATTTTCTTTAGCTTTTGCAATGAAATTATGTATCATAATAGCCCATGACGTAAGGAAGACCCCGAGTGATTTTTAGGTCCAAAGGTCAAGGTCAGGAATTCATTTATTGCATAAAATGGTTTCTATATGATAATTTCAGTTCTCTTGAGCTTTTACAACGAAATTTTAGGTGATGGCTTTGAAAGACAATAATAAATTTTGAGGCCAAATGATGAAAGGCCAGGGTCACAAATTCATGTATCGTATAAAAAGGTTTCTTGATTCACTTCAATATTGACTATAACTAATTTATCGGTCTTATTGATTTTGAGGTGAAAAGCTTGAGTCTTAAGTGGAGAACATTAATTCCTTGAAATAGATTTTCTTTAAAGAAAAATTCGCAACGCTGACTCTCCTCATTTAATTTAAAAAAAAGATGGAGCCATTAAGAGCAATCAGAATGCTATTAATTCTAAAGTTCATTTTAATAAATATACTTTTTTTCTCATAAAGTTGCCTTTGGAAATTGGTTCGACTTTGTCAAAGAATGGGAGAGAACTATGCGACAAGAAAACAGGGGCTGTCGTATTTTACACTTACATTTTGAAGATTTAAAGAAGGTCAGTTTTTCATTTGTTGTTTCGAATTTCATTTTATTTATAAGATTCATTGACTCTTGTATATATATTCATCACATATCTATCCCTTTTCTATTGTGGAAAAACACTGGGATTATATATATACGACATGATTATATAATTAAATGAAAGCAGTGCCTGTTGTATTCAGTTCAGGAAACAAACAAAACTACAGATTGGTCATGTTAACAGACTGAACAATCTCTGTTGTTAAAAACGCATAAGGTTTCGAAAATTTATGTGTTACGCGGACATTTTGCCTTCTCTGGGGCTTAAAACCATTTTTAACTGGGATTTTTGTAGGAAAAATCCGGTTCTTGAAATAGTCAAAATGGCAGGCGGGCGCCTGCCAAAAGGGTACATCAGTTGTCCGGATAACTCCTCCAAAACTTTCCAAAATAGAAACTTTTTTATATAATTTGCAGATCAATTGAACATATATCAGAGATGTGCATAGTTCTTGGATTATGATTTTGATTATTTATGAGAAAAATACCAGCTGTTGAACTTTATCATTTTTTTTTTTTTTTTTTTTTTTTGCAAAATATTGCAGAAAGGGAAATCATTTGTCCCGTCAACTCTTTCTACAGTTTTCAAGATAAAAAGTTCTTATTTTGCAGGTCAATTATACATTTATCAGAAATGTACATATGCATAGTATATGTATTTTGTTCTTTGTAAAATAATACTTAAGGGTGCACTATTTGGCCGGATAACTCATCCTACATTTTTAGCTCACCTGAGCTGAAAGCTCGAAGCTCAAGTGAGCTTTTCTGATCACCTGTTGTCCGTCGTCCGCCCGTCTGTAAAATTTTCACATTTTCAACTTCTTCTCAAGAACCACTGGGACAATTTTAACCAAAGTTGGTTCAAAGCATCCTTGTGTAAGGGAAGTTTAAATTGTTAAAATGAAGGATCAAGCCCCCTTACAAGGGGAGATAATCAAGAAAAGACAAAAATAGGATGGAGTCATTAAAAAATCTTCTTCTCAAGAAGCATTGGGCCAGAAAAGCTGAAACTTACATGGAAACATCCTGGGGAAGTGTCAATTCTAACTTGTTCAAATATTGACCCCCAGGGGAAGAATGGGGCCACAATAGGGAAACAAATTTTTAATTGAAATACATAAGAAAATCTTTAAATATTTTCTTCTCAAGAACCACTGGACTAGAAAAGCTGAAAACTTACATGGAGGCTTCCTGATGTAGTGTAAATTCTAAATTGTTTAAATCATGACACCCGGGGGTAGGGTGGGGCCACAATAGGGAATCAAATTTTTTTCATTGAAATATATAGGAATAATCTTTAAAAATCTTCTTCTCAAGAACCACTGGGCCAGAAAAGCTGAAACTTATATGGAAGCATCCTGGGGTAGTGTAGATTCTAAATTGTTCAAATAATTACACCCCAGGGGTAGGATGGGGGCCACAATAAGACATCAAAGTTTCACATTGAAACATATAGGAAAAATCTTTAAATATTTTCTTCTCAAGAACCACTGGACCAGAAAAGCTGAAAACTGATATGGAAGCATCCTGATGTAGTGTAGATTCTTAATTGTTCAAATCATGACCTCCGGGGGTAGGGTGGAACCACAATAGGGAATCAAAGTTTTACAATGAATTATAATGGAAAAATCTTTAAAAATCTTCTCAAGAACCACTGGGCCAGAAAAGCTGAAACTTTTATGGAAGCATCCTGGGGTAGTGTAGATTCTAAATTATTGAAATCATGACTCCTGGTGGTAGGATGGGGCCGCAATACGTGTTACAAGGGGGAAAATCTGGTGAAGAACTGCCGGGCCAAGGTTTCTCAGGTGAGCGTTGTGGCCCATGGGTCTTTTGTTCACGATATGAAGTTCTTTTTTTTTTTTGCAGATCAATTGTACATCTATCAGAAATAGACATAGTACTTGGATTTTGATTTTTTGATGATTTATGAGAAAAAATACAAGTTCATGATCTAAATGCAAAATATCTTCATAGGGTACATCGGTATTGGGGGATGTCAAGGCTTACAGTTTTCAGAATACACGTATAAACTTTTTTTTTAATAATTCCTGTAAAAAATACCCGTATTGTTCACACAAAAGAAAACCTGATTTGCTGTCACATTGGCAGCTCTTCCCTTGTACAAGTTATTCTACGAAATTATTCAAAATTACTAAAGATGATTATTTTTTCCCCAAATCACGTAGACATTTAAAAAGAACAGTGTGTGTGTGCACCCCTTTTTGTGGAAAAAAAAGAACAATTCAATCTTTCGTCATATCATTAATTTGTAATGTCCTTTATTGACTAGGAAGCTTTATTTGAGCTTTTTTTCTGCTGACCAGTAAGTTATCTGATCTGATCTATACAGGGAATTAAAAAAACAATAACTTTATCAACAGTCTAGCACATTTTAGAAGCATAATCTTACTGCAAGGACGAAATATCGGATTTTTCCTACTGCTAATTCTTTTTGGCATACCCGAGAACATTATACATATGGATAGATAGCCAATAGAACGTCGTAATTCTAGATTTGTACGAAGACATAAGGTGAACAAGCTGATTTTAGTCTAGACATAAAAGCAGACGGTCAAACCTTTCATTGAACTTAAAATATTTCCTGATTTTTTTTGCAGATACAGATATTTGAATTTCATTTAAGAACCAAGAATCTTATGAATAAATAAAGACAATTATAGTAATTAAGATCTATAATTTAAATAATACAGGACTGTTTAGTTTGCACTTATGTTAAAATACATCAAACAAAACAACAAAACAAGCAAATGAAACAATGCAAGCATACATTTTTGATGATATCATTTTCATGAGTTTCGTACACAATTACTTGTTTTATGTTCTAATTTGACCCCCAGTCTCAAACGAACATAAAATATTTACTATCTTGATTCAAAATCATAACAACACCATTTATGGGTAATAGCCATTTATTCATTAAAAAATACACAGAACACGCGATTATCTGCCTCACAGCCCTGAAAAATAATCAGTATGTGCTATATATACCAATCAATTGCTCAAGACCTCATGTCCTATTTCAGAAAGCAATAAAAAGTACCAAGTAGGCAGGGCCATTTAAGGACATACGCAACGAAGTTTGAATTTTATTGTCTTTTTCCCTGGAGTTGAAGAGTTCCTTTACCCTTGAGGAACTGTGTGCTACATTTTAATGTCTATACATGGTATTGTACACTTCTTCTAAAACAAGTTTGGATACACAAAACATTTAGAATATATGTTTAGTAATTTTTGAATATTTTTCTTTGAATTATACAAGAATTTTCATCAATTGTTATCTTTTCAAAACCCCTGGTAATGCATGCTGATTTTTTGTCTACGAACAGCTGATGGCACTATAATCTTAAATTAAAAATATCTTGAAAAATTATCAGTAGGTAAGGTACGTTGCGTATGTCCTTAATGCATAAAGTGAACCTAGGTCTTTGCTAAGATTATCGATTTGATGTAATTATTAATATTGAATTTTACTATACTCAAAGATGCTTGTTGAATTTGCATTAGAATTTCGACACTTTTGTGACCATTTTGTGTTTTTAGTACCGAGTTTATTACTTTAATATGTCATTAAATGATTTGATACTAAACAAGAGGCCCATGGGCCACATCGCTCACCTAAACACATTGGCTATGAAAAAGAACAAATCAGTTCAGTATTGAAAAGTTTAAATGGGGGGGGGGGGGGGGGCTTGAATTTTAAACTACCTGAGGATGCCTCCATATCAATATAACAAATGGCTTTGTTGTTCTTGAGCAGAAGATTTTTAAAGATTTTTCCCTATATATAATATTCCTCGTTAAAAATTTGATCCCCCATTGTGGCCCCTCCAACCCCCCCCCCCCACTGGGGGTCATCATTTGAACAAAATTTACTCTACCTGAGGATGCGTCCAATATGACTAATCATGGCTTTTCTGTTCTTGAAAAGATTTTTCTTATATATTCCTATGTAAAACTTTGATCCCCCATTGTGACCCCACCCTAACCTGGAGGGTCATGATTCAAACAAAGTTGAATCTACACTATCTGAAAATGCTTCCATATCAATATGACTTAACAAATCTTTGCTGTTCTTGAGAAAAAGATTTTTCAAGTTTTTTATGCCCCCGGATCGAAAGATCCCGGGGGTATATTGTTTTTGTCCTGTCTGTCTGTTTGTCTGTTTATCTGTTTGTCTGTTTGTCTGTCTTTCTGTTGTCAACTTTAACCTTGCCCATAACTTTTGATTGGTTGGAGCTATGACTTTCATATTTCACATGTGTATCCCTTGTGACAAGACCTTTCTTTGGGTACCATCATATTTGACCTTTTGACCTTGACCTTGGAGTTTGACCCACTTTTGCAAAATTTTATGAGACTTTAACCTTGGCCATAACTTCTGAACAGTTGGAGCTTGGGGTTTCAAACTTCACATGTGTATTCTTTGTGACAAGGCCTTCTTTTGGATACCAACCACTTTGACCTTTTGACCTTGACCTTGGACTTTGACCTACTTTTGAAAAACTTTAACCTTGGCCATAACTTTTGAATGGTTGGAGCTAGGGCTTTCATACTTCACATATGTAATCCTTGTGACAAGACCTTCCTTTGGATACCAACCACTTTGACCCTTTGACCTTGACCTAGGAGTTTGACCTACTTTTGAAAAACTTTAACCTTGGCCATAACTTTTGAATGGTTGGTGCTAGGGCTTTCATACTTCACATATGTAATCCTTGTGACGAGATCTTCCTTTGGATACCAACCACTTTGACCTTGACCTTGACGTTTGACTTTTATTTAAAAAACTTTAACCTTCACCATAACTTTTGAACAGTTGTATCTAGGTCTTTCAAATTTCACAGGTGTTTTCCTCGAGACAAGATCTTTCTTTGGGTATCAACATTTTTTATCTTTTGGCCTGGATTTTGACTTGCATTTGAGAAACTTTAACCTTCGACATAAGCTGCCATACGGGGGCATAGTGTTTCACAAACACATCTTGTCCCTATATATTCCTATGTAAAACTTTGGTCCCCCATTGTGACCCCACCCTACCCCCGGGTGTCATCACTTGAACAAACTTGAATCTACACTACCTGAGGATGCTTCCATATCAATATGACCAATCATGGCTTTGCTATTCTTGAGAAAAAGATTTTTAAAGATTTTTTCCTATATATTCGTATGTAAAACTTTGATACCCCATTGTGACCCCACCCTACCCCGGGGTCATCATTTGAACAAACTTGAATCTACACTACCTGAGGATGATCCCACATGAGTTTCATCTTTCTTGGCCCAGTGGTTCTTGAGAAGAAGATTTTTAAAACATGCTATTAATTTTTCACTAATTTGTAATTATCTCCCCCTTGAAAGATGGCATGGCCCTTTGTATGAACAAACTTGAATTCCGTTCACCCAAGGATACTTTGTGGCAAATTTGGTTGAAGTTGGCCCAGTGGTTCTTGAGAAGAAGTCGAAAATGTGAAAAGTTTACAGACAGACGGGCAGACGGACAGCTAGACAGACAGACGGACGCCGGACAAAATGTGATCAGAAAAGCTCACTTGAGCCTTCGGCTCAGATGAGCTAAAAAACCCTTTACTTTGATTTATGATGATCTGCTTTAATAAAGCTGCTCAGCTTTGCGCTATGATTGATCAGCAAGTTGAAAGCTGGAATGCCCCAGACCAAAATTGCAGAACACTTTTGAGAACATAAGAATACTTTTTAAATCTCCCTGGTGCCGTTTGTGGTGCTACCGTCAATGGTTCGTAACAGAATGTAGGAACATGACATTCACTGGAGGCATCTATAAAGCGACCAGCCCTTACTGTTGTAGAGACGTCATTACCAGATTGTGTAAGCAACGACTGCGCTTTACGATGCAATAATGGACGTCGATAAATCATATTTCCATAGATCTAGATAGCAGCGATAACTAGAGGTGTACCATAAAGTAGAAACCACCTACACAGATACCGGCTTAATTTGTACAACTCCATTTTGTGTTTGGGATAAAACAGTGATTTAATTAATGAACTGAACATGAAAGAATACCCTTGGTGGAAACTAATAGGAATTTGATACAGAGACAAAATTTGTCAGCATGTCCTTCATCCAAAACCACACTACAACAAAACAACACAAGATTCGATATTGTATGTATTGTTCTTGTTTTGACTTCCTCAGACAATGGAATGTCAATGTATTAATCTGGCCAGCTGTTAACTCTGATTTTTCACCCAATGAACATGTTCAGGATAAAAACATCGTTTACGTAACCGACTGAACTGGGTTAAGAACAAGTCAACAATATTCATCAAGCTTTTTCGAACACTTCGATTGCATCAGTGAGAGAGACGATCTTTGTCAATCAATCGTTCTTCTCTACAATAAAAAAAATGAATTCTAGGAATATTACATATTATTTTTTGTAGGACTTAAAGTCAAATGTAAGGAAGATTGCAGACCTTTTGGATCTGAGTTATGAGGACGAGTTTATAAACCTCGTAGCAGAGAAATGTACTTTTAAGAATATGAAAAATGGCAAAGAATCGAACCCCCAACCTTACTGGCAGAACTGCACACACGACGGGAAGATGCCAATATTCCGGAAAGGTAAAACATACTCCACTTATCAAATGAAATAAGGATTCCTGAAGTGGTTCAAATTACATGTATTTTTTGATCTCAGAGATAAGTAAAAAAATATATCAATAAAACGAAACAGAAATCAACCCCTAAACCAACCACCCCTCCCCCAAAAATGTGTTTGTGAAACACTGATGCCCCCGTATGGAAACTTATAGACTTTCTCAAATGCAAATCAAATATGTTGGTACCCAAAGTAAGGTCTTGACCCGAGGAATATACCTGTGAAATATGAAAGCCCTAGCAACAACCATTGAAAAGATATGGAAAAGGTTTAAGTTTTTCAAAAGTAAGTCAAACATCAAGGTCAAGGTCATATTGTCAACAAAATTAATGGTGCCTAAGGAATGGCCTTCTCACAAGGAATACACATGTGAAATATGAAAGTCCTGGAACCAACCGTTCAAAAGATATGGCCATGGTTAAAGTTTTTCAAAAGTAGGTCAAACTTCAAGGTCAAAGGGTCAAAGTTGTTGGTATCCAAAGTAAGGTCTTGTCACAAGGATTACATATGTGAAGTATGAAAGCCCTAGCACCAACTGTTCAAAAGTAATGGTCAAAGTTAAAGTTTTCCAAAGGTAGGTCAAACTCAAGGTCAAGGTCAATGGGCTATAGTTGTTCGTATCTAAAGGAAAGTCTTGTCACAAGAATTACACATGTGAAGTATGAAAGCTCTGGCACCAACTGTTCAGAAGTGATGGCCAAGGTTAAAGTTGGGTAAAATTTTGTAAAACTGGGTCAAACTCTAAGGTCAAGGTCAGATATGATGGTATCCAAAGAAAGGACTTGTTACAAGGAATACACATATGAAATATGAAAGCCGTAGCTCCAACCAATCAAAAGTTATGAGCAATGTTAAAGTTTTTGCGGACAAACAGATAAACAGACAAACAGCTAGACAGACGGACGGACAGGTCAAAAACTATATACCCCTGAATCTTCAATAGGGGGGCTTAAAACGTGAATTATTTCTATATGTTTATGGGAGCCTGAAATTTTTAAAGATTTTCTTTGAGCAATTCTTGTAACCTTTGTACGGTACGTAAAATAGAAAGGGGAAGCGGGGGTGATCAAAGGCGCGTATTAAACTGCAATGTATAGATATTATATGTATTCACATTCAACAGAGAAGGAAGGGTGGTTTTACAATGTAACATTATGGATTGTAGCCAAGGATTTGCTATCTTTTTTAACATTGTCTTTATTTAAAGGTGACGTGGGTGACTGGAAAAACTGGTTCTCCGAAAAAGAAAACGAAAAATTCGACAAAGAGTACGCCAGACAGATGCGAGACTCCAATTTAACTTTCCAATATTTCATATAGATGAGCCGTCAGTGCGTGTTTAGAGTTCATTACTAGTTTGGTGTTTTACAGGGAAGTCTGAAGAGCAGAGCCATTTTATTTATTGCAATTTGTTAATAATAATTTAATACATGTGTATGTGTATTTGTTAATCGACTCTACATGCTCAAAAGTCTAATTATTTATTCAGCCTGTGCTGACGTTAACTAATGTGATTCTAAGTATAATGTCTATGTAATACAAAAGACACTGCAATATATGGAAACTTACATTACTAAGTCGCAGCTGTAAATTGATTGATTTTAACAAATTGAATCAGGGAAAAAATGAGTTTTTATAACATTGCTGTAGTTCGTTTGACTCCTTTTGATGAAGAATGCAAATTTATTTATTAAATTCAATTTATTCATGATATAGCTATTTGATAAATGTGTTTTTCAAACGATTTCTACTTTTAAAATATTGATAGAACAAAAAGCAGAATATCGAATCATTTCAAAGTTTTTAACTGTCCAAGAATAGTGCACTAAAGATTAGACATGAAAACATATTTTTTTCTGGTGGTTTATGTACATGTATTCCCACCGTCAATCTTAAATTCCCAAGGAAACAAATTTTAATATATCATTGTTAAAAGAAATAGATTAGATTATAATAGATAAGGGAATAGATAAGATTTTAATAGATTAGATTTAATTTATTGATAAGCAATAATGCCAAAAAAAAGGAATTTATTTTCTATGGAAAAGTTAAGTTTATAAGAAAGAATGGGTTCCAATGCTTCATTTTGCTTTATACCTATTGAATCATGTACAAATAAGGAGGATTTGTCTATAACACCCCCCCCCCCCCAATTTTCCTTAATATTTGTTGAACTATTTATGTAAAAATGAAGAATGAATCACAAAATCATCTTACTGCTGGATTATCCCAAATAAATACGAATAAACCCCCAGTAAACGGAAGTTCCGAATAACGTCCACCTAAATAATCAGGAGAGGTTGTTATGTCCATTTAAAAATTTATTTCACTTCCTTATCATTAATGAAGAATTTTGTTAAGAAGATCAGACATATAATTTTAACATCGTAGAGAGTGAATATTTTTCTATGATAATAATTAAGTGTGACATGGAATGTTTTTGTTTAGTCACATTTCACTGTCATTATTAGCTATGTACATATATCTCACTTTTGCTGAGCTAACAGAGATGGCTATTTTATCTATAGTTTGTAAAATTCCAGACTTTTATTGTTATATTGTTACACTGTTTATTTGACTGTATAACAGACAATCACATGTAAATTTATCTGTTATGTGAATTTGTTGATTATTCACTATTATATACTATAAAAATTGTTATGATGTACAAAACGTTGTTTGTAAATAAAATTGAGTGCAATATTCAATGAAATGAAGTATTCATAGATGTATGCATTGGTTTAAAACAAGAATATGAATTCCAGAACACAAAAAAATTCACATCCGAATTTTCTCTGATTTCACTCTGACTTCATTTAACTGGAAGGTAAGAGTGTAGGTTATGACATTGTGGACAATTAAGAGAAACAGTTTGAAATAAAATGATATAGAATTGGCATACTGCATTTAAATGCGTCTGGAATCATTAAATATATATGTATATATTGCGAATTTCGGTCACTTGGCCATGTTATCCGTATCTTTCTATCAGTGCCATTGTTGTTATTCAAGTTTGGTTTAATTTCATTTTAAGCATGATTCTTACGAAAGACACCTAAGCATACCCAAATTGATACTAGTGATTATTTGTTTCTAGTGAAAACTTTACAGAATATATACACGTTAAAACATGTGTACAAAATACATGAGAAAGACAGGTATTTGTACACAATTGTATAAAAAGGTGAAGATTACGAACTGTGACCAATTTCATTAATCCTTTAATCACGAACAAGGCAAAAAGGACCCCTGGAAACACCAGAGGTGGGATCAGGTACCTAGGGGGAGTAAGCATCCCCTGTCGACTGGTAAAGGATCAGCAATGGCCTAACATATCAGTCAAAATTGTTTTTGCTAACAAGGTAATTAGCCGCGGTATAGCGACCAAAGAATTAAAACGAAAGGCTGACTTTATATGAGATTGTTGAAAACACTGTAAAATCAGCTTATTTGTTAGGATTAAGGCCTAGTCTAAAATTTGATCGTACCTAGAACATGCATCTGTGTATCGAATCAGTCAGGAGATGTATTTACCATATGCAGGTGACGGTGGATATTGCTACATAATCGGGGAAGTTGACGATATGGAAAGGCTGAAGTCATCCCAGTAGAACATTCAAAAAAGAAAAATGTGGCAAACTCTATGTTGTCTATTATTTCAGATTCACTGTGTTATATAAAGTCGACAAGTAAATGAAAGTATCTATCATTAATTAATAAAACTTCCTATTATATATGTTTAAATGTCGAATGGAATAGGCCACAGCAGGAGTTTTCTTAAATAGAAGATTTTGAATATATAAACAGGTCGGCTGATAAAGAAGCACAGTAAGTGCCCATGGGAATTCCAACAGAGTTCAAAAGTTTAGTGGAGAGTATATACACGAAGCAGGAAGTTTCATCACTGTACCCGTCTATCTGTTGAAGGATTACAATGTAATTGTCGCAATCGGCTTTCAATGCAACACATTTCTGTAAAGAAGTAGCCACTGCCTATACACGACAGGAAATAATGACACTTTGTTGGATTCAGATTCATAATTACGGTGTGCAAAACATTGACCATACATGTAGCTGCAATTCTAATATATGTTGTAGTAAATACTAATAAAACCGTGTCTTTTAAGAAAGCTCTAAACAATGCTCATTGAAGAGTTTTAATTCTATGGTCGTTTTATCCATTTAGAGTGATCTGCCCTTACTTCATCTAAATCTATGTACAGTAAATCATTTACTTCAGTATATTTTAAGCTGATTCATTTAATGAATCAGCTTAAAATATACTGAAGTATTCTCAACATTTTATTACATACCCAACTGTTTGTCACTCAGTTTTACTGTTGAATTTAGGCAATCGCGTGACGGTGTGATCCGACGTTCCGGATCACCACTGTGTCAAGGGTTTGTGTGAAGTTCCGAAATCACAAAACCTTGACATTGTGAGGATGTGTGGTTTTCTGAATCCATATCACTTCTCTCTGAAACTGATGACGTAATACACAGATAAATAACGTTTTTATTCTCGCGCATCAAAAATGGTTTGTTAAATGGATAACATTTATGTAATTGATCATAAACGTTTCCTTTTATTATATTTTGCTAGTTGTAAAGGGGTATATAATAAATTTATCATTATAACAGTAACTTAATCCGAAGAGCCGTATCACGTCAAGTTGAAAAGCTCGGATCATCAGATCAAACGAGACGCGAAGCGTTGAGTTTCATCTGATGATCCGCGCCTGTCAACGAGCTTATGCGCTTATAAATTGATGAGAGCAACAATTGATTTGATGTGCGCAACAATTCAATTATTGCTCTCATAAACTTAATCGATGCTCGCAATTTTTAAAATTGTTGAACTTCAACAATGAGGTGGAGTTATTGCTCGCAAAAATGGATCTAAAATTCAATTTAAGAGATTATTATCTAAAATTATGGATATGTTGAACTGAAGCTTTTCAAGTTCGTTGTTTATTTCTTGGTGTCATATGACATATCAGAATACTTAGTTATTACGAGATTTATACCGTATCAATCATTATAGTATTACAATATGATGAGGATGAGTGTAATAAATTAATAGCAAGTACATAAGACGTGTTATATCAGATAATTGTAAATATGAAACTCTTAAGGATTACAAATATTCATTTTTCTTGGAGGCTTGATGTAAATATTATCCGACATTACAAACTTCACTTATATCGTGTGCTCTTTGAAGTAAAAATCATCTTCAGTCACATTCAATGAACACATTTTACAATATCTATTTTTCCTGCTCACTTAGCAGTTTCATCATTCTAATTATGAGCAGAAATTTTGAAGATATCGCTAATGAATTAGTTTTTCTCCCATAAAGATGGTTGCACACATATTGATAACAACGTAATTTGGATGATGCGTGGGAGGCATTGAATAAGAGCATACTACCCCCCCCCCTTTCGGGAGTTAGGCACCATATCACTTTCTTTCGTGTATCATGTAATATTTTAATATAGCTACATGTACATTCCTAATTTAATAACAAATCAACATTTTTTTCTCTCTCAAAATTTGAAGTAATTCTAAGACCTCACTGGATGATGATGATAATAACAATGTATGAAAAAAAAATGAAATAAAAGTTATGAATTTGACACACTTTTTTATGTTTCCGGGCTTTTCAGATAAGCTGCATGAATGCGTATTGATACCGTTACGTGAAAATTGTAATTAGCTTCAGAAAAAAATCAACAAATTTCCCTCCAACTTTGCTAGCTTGATTTGAATAATTTCACACAGAAGAAAACGCCCAGTCGGGGAAGAAATGTGATAAAACAAAAAATATCGTCATAAATTCAAAATAAGTCCCTTTTACTGAAAAAAGATATTAAAAACTATTTTTGATATAATTTTCAACATTTACTGTACAATTTTTCCAAGAATCTCGTAAGCCAAGTGTTGACAGATGTGGGAGCGTAGCGGGAACGACAACTCTGGATAGAGGTTGATCACATATATGGGAATTTTAATACTGGTTATTTTCCTTCTATAGTCATTTTCTATCTTTACTTAATGAAAATGTATTGGTCGGAATTTAAAAAAAAGTATCAGATTCTGCTTTTGTTTTTGGCGCTCGGTTGATGTGTATGAAAAAAGTGTTCACATCCTGTAGATTACTTTGGAAACAATGTTAGAAAGTGTCATGACATAAAATTGTTGTTCGGAGGAAAGGTAAGCCTTAAGTGTTTTGGATTTATCCTTTAGTTTGAAGAAAACTCCTTTCAAGAATTTGGCCCTACAATGTAAATGACTACGTCATCATTACGTCATTATCTTGG